AGACCTATCCTTTCCTTTTTATAGTTCTAGCCACCACCTCAGAGATTTGCATCTCAGTGCTAAATTACTATAATAGCCTTTTTGATGTTTTCCCAGATCCTAGTTTCTGTCTATATTAGGCCCTATATTCAACTGCTAGATTAATCCCCATCAAGTACTTGTCATCAAGGTTCACTGTATCAAATTTATATACCACACAAGTTAGCATTTCAACTCCTCCCCATCTTTACTTCTCCTTATCTCTTGTTACTTCCCTAAATGGGGCCAAACTAACTTGGTAGTAAGTCCTACTTAATGGTTTCTTTGTTCTCAATCTCATGTACACACTCTTCTTTCCTCCTGGTGTGCTATCGCTTCTCTCCTATTCTTTCCCTTCAGTGATTGACTCCATTTGACTCCTCTTTTTGTTATTTTTTATTTTTTTATTTTATTTATTTTTTTGAGAGAGTCTCGCTCTGTCACCCAGGCTGGAGTGCAGTGGCGCAATCTCGGCTCACTGCAAGCTCCACCTCCCGGGTTCACGCCATTCTCCTGCCTCAGCCTCCCAAGTAGCTGGGACTACAGGCATCCACCACCAATCCCGGCTAATTTTTTTTTTTTTTTTTTTGTGTTTTTAGTAGAGACAGGGTTTCACTGTGTTAGCCAGGATGATCTTGATCTCCTGACCTTGCGATCCACCTGCCTCAGCCTCCCAAAATGCTGGGATTACAGGCGTGAGCCACCACGCCCAGCCAACTCCTCTTTTTTTTAAAGACATATTTTGCATCTTTTCAATACTTGAATATTTAGTTTATCTAGTAATAAGGTCCTTGACACCCTGCTGCTGCTGCTGCTGTTATTTATGTCTTTGTTTTAGATATTCTGGTTTTGAAGGCATTGTTCCATGTGGGAACTATTGTTTCTATTACCTTTGTCGCTCTCTTCTTTTCTTGCATATGGCAGAATCTTGAACATAATAGGTATCCTATAAATCTTCCTGGCTGACAGATCTATAAAAGTTTTGGGAGGGATGTGTAATGTCATTCTTAAATTTTAGAGATGCAAAATAATGCTTTTTATATAATTACCTGTTTTTAATTTTTAATTTTTTTGTTTTATATCAGATTTGAAGATAGTATTCTCAACACAGTAAGGTGAAGTTCCACAACATATTACTACAAATATTAGATCTAGTTTATTGAACATTAGCCACCTGATATATCAGATTCTCTCAAGAGAAAAGTTAGCTTCCTGAATGCTGACCAGGCATGCTTTTGAAGGTGCGTGATAGCCAAAGCCAGTACTCATCATTTGATATACTAAGATCCTTGAAAATTTAAAAGGGGCATAGTCACCAGCATCCAGAACAAAGGATAGGGACATGGTGATTTCCTTATTTTACTGTCTAAAGCTCTGCTTCTGTTGCTGACCTACTCTTAAAGAGAAGTATTTATTTTCAAAATTTTCCATGTCACTTAAAGTCAATATTGAGAGGAAAAGGAGTATCACTGGAGTGGAGCTTGGCTGAGAAAGGATACAAGGCAGAAGGCAACTTCCAAGCCTGCCTGCCCACCCACCTTCTTTCTTACCTCAGGAACAGAGTTGACTTTGAGAACTAAATTCTGATTTTTTAAATCTTACCCAAATTCAGCCAGGCGCAGTGGGCTTGTGCCTGTAATCCCAGCACTTTGGGAGACCGAGGAGGGCAGATCATGAGGTCAGGAGATCGAGACCATCCTGGCCAACATGGTGAAACCCCGTTTCTACTAAAAACACAAAAATTAGCTGGACGTGGTGGTGCATGCCTGTAATCCCAGCTACTCGGGAGGCTGAGGCAGGAGAATCACTTGAACCAGGGAGTCAGAGGTTGCAATGAGCCGAGATCGTGCCACTGCACTCCAACCCGGTGACAGAGCAAGACTCCTTCTCAAAAAAAAAAAAAAAATCTTACCCAGATTCCTACCTAACAGGCCTTGGGAGTCACACCCTACAAACTGTGAAGTCTCATCAGAGGGGTTTTATTTCACCCCATATAATCTAGCCCGCTTTCCCACCTGACTCTGGCGTAACTTCACATAACAAATAAGAAAAGAGATAAAAATATTTTAACCACAAATATATTTCCTTGCCATATCTTGAAACTACTCTGCAAGGTTGTCTCTTGTGGGAAAGGTCCACATTCTGTAGAGAATCTCCTTTCCACCCACTGTTTTTTCTTTCTTTCTTTCCAGACCCAGGAGATAATCGACTAAGGCACCCATTTAAGTCTGATAAGTGTAAACACCCAAAATCTGAGACAGATCTCAGTTAATTTAGAAAGTTTATTTTGCCAAGATTCAGGAAGTGCGTCCATGATATGGCCTTAGGAAGTCCTGATGACATGTGCCCAAGGTGGTCAGGGCACAGCTTAGTTTTGTACATTTTAGGGAGACATGATACATCAGTCAGTATGTGTAAGAAATACATTGGTTGGGTCTGGAAAGGCGGGATAACTTGAAACAAAGGCAGGAAGACTTAAAGTGGTGAAGGGGCTTCAAGGTCACAAATAGGTGAGAGAGGAGTGGTTGCAGTCTTTTGAATTTCTGATTAGCCTTTCCAGAGGAGGCAATCAGATATGCATCTATCTCAGTGAGCAGACAGATGACTTTGAATAGAAATGGGAGGCAGATTTGCCAGGACCAATTCCCCACCTTGAAGGGGCCCATGATATTTTCCTTTCACGGAAACATTTTACAACCTACTCCCTCAGAAGTCTGCTCAGAGCTTCTTCTGCACAGTAAAACTTGGAAAAACTGGTTGCCACAACCCTTTATCTTAACCTAAACATTTCCTTTCTATTGATCCCAGGTCTTTAGATAAACTCAACCAATTGTCAACCAGAAAATTTTAAAATCTACCTATATGCTAGAAGCACCCCCCACCCCACTCCACCCACCCTTCAAATTATCCTCCCTTTCTGGACCAAACCAATGTATTTGATTGAAGTCTCACGCCTCTCTAAAATGTATAAAACCAAGCTGCACCCTAACCGCCTTGGGCACATGTTCTTAGGACCTCCTGAGGGCTGTGTCATGGGCCATGGTCACTCGTATTTAGCTCAGAATAAGTCTCTTGAAATGTTTTAGAGTTTGACTCTTCATCGACAACTTAAAGACAGTTCTGAGTTTACAGCATTTTATTAACTTTGTTAGTACAAGTTACTTTCTTGTTTTATTCTTTTAGTCCTTTATCCTCAACCCACATTCCGGTTCCCTTTCCTGTTCATATGCAGCTACTCTAATGTGTTTATGTCTTTATATCCACATTTGCTTGAAAGATATATAATATTGTTATGTGTGTGTTTTCAACCTACATAATGGTATTTGCTTATTCTTAACCTAATGCTGTGTTTTTTAAAGATGTATTCATGTTGCTGTCGGTATGTGTAAAGTGTGGTTTCCAAAGCTGTGTAGAATTCCATATTTGTATTCACTCCATTTTGATTTTCCATTCTTCCAGTTAAAGAAATGAGTGTTAACTTCAAACTCCCTACTACACTATTGTCACAGCAAATATTCTCACATAGGTCTTTGAAGTCTGTAATTCACATATATATAACCTTATTTGAGATTTTCTGTGGGATTTACTCACCAGAATGGGATCATTGGATCACAGGGTGTGTACATACAGCCAGATCACTAGGCAGAATATCTGTATCACTTACCTACAGTGCATGAGGATTAATGCCTCTCCACATCTTTGTCAATTTTGTTCATCAAATCCAACAATTTTTTTAATTTCTATTTTTAGAGTGTTAGAGTGTTGTTTATGCTCTCTAGTATTTTCTGTTCTGTAATGTTATCTCCCAGTGGTTTTTCTTACAAGCCTGTTTATTGGGCCATTTGAAGATTCCTTTCTGGTAGTTGGTGTTAACTTTTGACTGCTCTTGATGCAGGAAAAAAAATGCAAGAAAATAGATGTAACACCTCCCCTTGCCTCTGCCCCTCGCCCCTCCCTCCAAGCCCTGCTCTTCCACTCACAAAATTGAGCCCGTTTTACACCCTGTTTGTGCTACATGAATCCTGTCTGCTTAGCTATAGCTGATTGGAAAGAGATGTATACCTACCCAAGCTGAGTACTTAAAGTCTTCCTCCAAGGAATTCGAAATTAGGATGCCTCAGCTAGGCTGTTGAAGAACATGCAGATTGAGGGGTGGGGGTGACCATCTTCCCCTGTGTGCACAAAGAAGCTAGAGAAATGGTCTGCAGAGAAGGAATAAAGAAGATGTGCACAGAAAAACAAAGAAAAAACCTTACGGTCCCATAGAGAGGGAGAGAGATTGAGCTAGAATGTGAAAGTACCTGTCCTGGATCCTGACGGCTTTCCAGTTTCTAGTTCTCTTTTCTCCTGAGACTGCGTTATATTTTCTTATCTGTATTAGTTAGGGGTGGCTAACTGCTGTAACAAATAGATTCCACAGTGTGTAATGACCCTAACACAACAGAAGTTGATTTCTCACTCATACAGACAGATCCAGATGACTCTAAGTGAGGTGGCAGCAGTGGAGGGCTCTGTACTACGTAGTTATTTAGGAGTCCAGGTTGATGGAGGTTTTGCTGTTTTCTACCCATGGCTTCCAAGGTCCCCCTGGGTGTCAGCATCCATGCTGCAGAAGAGTAATGATCATGGAGTTGAATAACAAGGGAGGTTTTATAGACCAGGCCTTGAGCTAGCACAGTTATTCACATTCCTTGGCTGGAACTCAGTTACATGGGCACAATTAACTGTATGGGAGTCTGAAAAATGTGGTCTAGCTAAGGACCCAGAAGGATGAGAAAATGGGTTTGGTGAACAACTAGAGATGATCACGTCATATTTAGGATCTGTGTGATACCTCTATATCCTTTTAATTAAGTTCCCATTTTTTTTCTTAAACTTAGTTTGAGTTGGCTTCTGTTATTTATACCTTAATGATTTGGTGTTTTCATGATAGCCATCTTTAAAGTAGTAGAAGAGATAAAAACTGATTATTATTTTCTCAGGAAAATTGGGCCGATTTCCTCCTATGATGCATCATCACCAGGTACCCACAGGTGGCCAGACTCCTGGGGCTCATTTCCAGAGGTCTCATCTTGCAGAGGCATTTGCAAAGGCCAAAGGATCAGGCGGAGGTGCTGGAGGAGGAGGTAGTGGAAGAGGCCTGATGGGGCAGATTATTCCAATCTACGGTTTTGGGATTTTTTTATATATACTGTACATTCTATTTAAGGTAAGTGGAATCATCCTAATCATATTACATCAATGAAAATATAATATGGCAATAAAAATCAGTCTACATTAAAACTTTTTACAGTTCATAAAATTATTTTAAGTCCATCATCTCTTTAAATCTTGCCTCCTCTTCGTGAGGTACTTAGGATAGCCATTATTTCAGTTTCACATAAGAAATATTTACTCAGTGTTTAAGTGTTTTGCCCCAAAATTCACAACTAACGAGGCAGAACTAGGACTTGAACCTGGATCTTTTGGTTCTTAATCCAGTGAGTGATACAATTCAAAGCACTCCCCCGCCAAAAAAAAAAAAAACCAAAAAACAAACAAACAAAAAATTGAACATCTTTACAGGCCGAAAAGGAATAAAGATTTTCTAAGAAGAACGTATTGGGATTGGCACAGTGATTTCCAAATAGCCATTTTTAAGGCCGAATAACGCACTTTATCCTCCTTTTTTCTCCACAGGAATATGAGATGCTGTTTTTAATATTATCTCCAATAATTCTCCTAAGACAGAACTGTCCATCCTGAAATTAAGCCTGATATTTCCTAGCTCTGGGGAGACATGGGTGTGGGTTCTTTAAAGCAGACGCTCAGTTAAGTTCCACCTCCAGGCAGGCCTTTGCAGGTCCTGGGCCCCTGTACTGTGAAGTAGAGGCAGAAGCTTCACTTTGCCCTCCTGTCTAGAGTAAGCTTCAATAAGATGAGTTCTTTCTTGCCCAGGAATTCTGCAGGTCGTCTGAGTTGAGTCTGTAAGAATGCCTGTAGGGTGCCACACATCTCTTTTAGATGAGCATGAGCAAGGAAGATGACCTGTAGGGAGATTTTTTTCCTTGTGTTAGAAATGCTTGTTCCCTGGTGCCGTAAAGAAATAGCACTTGAACATGAATTTAATTTCCTCAGCAAGGCCATTACTTTCTGCAGAAAGGGTATACTCATCAGCAGTTTTGCCAGGAGAGTACACCGAACAAAGGAGACGGTCATTTATAACCTCACGCATCCACCTTACTGCTGTGCCCGGTTTCCATTGGTTGGAATGGGACCTCACATTCTGTGTTTGTGCTGATTGGCTAGTGACTTAGAACTTTTTAAAAGAGGCAAAGGCAGAGGAAAACAAAGGAAGGAGGAGGTAACTTGTGGAATGCTGAAAAAGGTAAAAACACCTTCAAATAAGGATGAGAAACAGGCTATGACCTAATGCTTGCTTGGACCAGTATAAGCATGCCAGGGCAAATATTTAGGCTAAATTGTGGGAGCTAAGAACATAAAGTACCTTGATTTCTTTATTGCAGCTAGCAGATATCTAAGCATGTTAGCACAAGTCCTTGAATAAATTTTGCTTCTAAGAGAAGTTACTATTCCTAATTAGATAGGGAGGAAAGTCTCTTTGAAGAGGAACCTCTACTTTACTGTTTACACTTGTGCCTTGATAATTTTTTACTTGGAAACCTTCTCATCTTTTGGTGTGTGGGTTTTTTTTTGTTTTGTTTTTTGTTTTTTTTTTTCTCGAGATATTTCTCTAGTGTTGCTATTTGATTTCATTTCTGACTTCATTTTTGTTTCCTAACCTTTTGGTTTTTTTACTTGATATGAGGGTTTCCGTGACTTTGAGGTTCTGAGCTGCTGTTAATGTGCTATACCTCCTTCAATTCTCAGCTCTCAAAGGGGAAAACAACTGCAGAGGATGGTGGGAAATGCTCTACTGCCACACCTGGAAACACCCACAGGAAAATTAGTAAGTTCCCCTTCTCAGTATATTCACAGGTATTATTGAGTCAAACAGTTTTATAGCCACAGGGACAGTCTGTGGGTATGTCTTAAAAGCATTTCTCAAAAGTTGCTCCAAATTAATCTGATGCCATTTTTGCCTTAGTTCTGGGAATTCTCAAAAGTTTTTATATTGATGTTGGGGTTTTAAGGGAGGGATAGCTACAAAAAGTACAGAACCATCTGTTCACTTTTTTATGTATTAGCAAATTAATATTTCACATTTGGAATGAATTACTTCTCATTTTCAGACTTCAAAATATGGGTAGCAGAGGGGAAAATGGAGGCAGAGAAATCATATCATTGCCAAAATCAGTTTTTAGATCTAGGGAAAGAGTTTAACACTTCTGACTCTTGAAACATGGCCATCAGATACTTATTACACAACTAGAATATTCTGTGTTCTCTGGGGAAATTAAATTTGTACAACATGGCTCTTTCCTCAAAGAATCTAGAGACTAGAATGTATGTCAGGAAAATAACCTATGAAAAATTTTCCACACACAAAAAAGAGACTTGGCAAAAGCATTGCAGGAAATCATATTTATCTGGGCTGTAACTGCTTTTTGGATTTACTTCTGGATTTTCTATGAAACTAAATATCCCAGTCACACTTTGCATCCTTTTTGGAAATCTTAAATATTCACAGAATTCTTTAATAAAACTGCTGTGTTCTTCAATGAGATAGTAATGGGAAGTGCAACAGTACAATAGTTTTTTAAAAATTTGTTGTCTCTTTAACAGGTTTAGGGAGTTGTCTGTGATGGTCCTTAGACTGTTACTTATTTTTCAGCCAGTTTTGAGCTTGCTCAACTGCAAGAAAAACTGAAAGAGACAGAAGCAGCCATGGAAAAATTAATCAACAGAGTGGGACCTAATGGTGAGAGGTAGGTTTTCATGTAACAGGACTCAGACTATTCTCATTTAGAAAATCAATTCAGGCTGGGAGCGGTGGCTGAGGCCTGGAATCCCACTTCGGGAGGCCGAGGTGGGTGGATCATCTGAGGTCAGGAGTTTGAGACCATCTTGACCAACATGATGAAATCGTTTCTACTGAAAATACAAAATTAGCCAGGCATGGTGGTGCACACCTGTAATCCCAGCTACTTGGGAGGCTGAGGCAGGAGAATCGCTTGAACCTGGGAGGCAGAGGTTGCAGTGAACCGAGATTGTGTCCTTGCACTCCAGCCTGGGCAACAAGAGCGAAATTCTGTCTCAAAAAAAGAAAAGAAAATTCAAAATTATGCTTTTTTTTGATAAATAGACCACTTATTTTCATTTTATGTACTGTCAGTTTTTAAATTGTGAATGTGTCATTTATGTATTCTTTATCATTTAACATTTTTCATTTACATACTCTCAAGCAATCTTAGTTTTCAAAAGTTTAGTGTTGTGCAAATTATTGTGAAAGTGAATAAATTTGTGAGTAACTCCTATGGGGTGAAATAACTAGGATTTAAGAAAGAAACTTTCCTAGCTGTCTAAAATAGGTATAATTTTAAGTAAAACCAGGTTATTGAACATGATGCTTTCTACTTGAGACAAAATGAGAGAAGAGAGCAAGTGTGATCACATTAGGCATTCATGTTTGTGTCAACTGTGCCAGCATAGAATTAGACATGTAAATTAGATGTTAAGAGCCAAACTAGCCATTTAGAATGTCCCAAAGGGAAGATACTCCTCTTGCTACTAGGCTGGCTGAGGATCTGAAAAGGTGGCTTCAGGAGGTTGATAGAAGTGGACAACAACCAAGAAAACGTGGATGTAGAAAGGCCAGGAAAAAAAACCAGAATGTAAGATTGAGGACAAAGAGGGGTTCAGTTTCAGCTAGGTCTTCTGGCAAGGATGGAAGGAGAACGTTAGGGTGAGTGGCAGAATCCCATGCAGAAGGAAGTGTTGAAATGTCCCTCCTACATCTTTGTGGGCACACTGTGTACTTTTTGCCCCAAGAAATTGTTGCTCTACCTTAGCCTGTATTTGCCATCCTTTATAGTGGTAGTACCCTGTGCCCTTTCTGTGTTCACTGGCTTCAGCCTTGCCTCTGTTTGGCTGGATACAAGAGAGTGGGTATCCTCAGATTGCAGCCTCCTGATGTGGCATTTCCCTGCAACATCTGCAGTCCTGTTGAAATGACATTTGTGAAGATGAACCTTGCCTGTGTGGGCCCAGGAGCCTTGACTTTCTTTTTATCTGGAAAGCAGAGTTACTATCTGGAATGTTCCCCAAAGTTGTATAGATACATCAATATATCTTTGTGAGTGTATAATAATAATTGATATTTATTGAACACTTACTAAGGACCACACTCTGAACTAAATGCTTTGTGTACATTATCTAACATATGACTATTTGTATGAGTGTGACTAAACCAATTTTTGCAATTATACTTTTCTGGCCTTTTCTGCCCTAACCCTGTAGCTGCCACCTACAGTCTGGGTGGAGAACTACCCAGGCTATTATAGACCGTTAGGTCTGAAAAAGTATCTGTACACTCACCTGGGCCATTGGAAACCCCAGGCCACACCTAAGGGTCTTGAAAACCATAGATAAATACCTGTGGGCAGGGCCTCTCACTTGGGAGACTCAACTCCTGGAGCTTGGGGTAAGAGACCACGTGAAGATATTTTCTCATTATTATTTATTGTTGAGTAACAGACTCCCTTAACTCAAATTACTCTACCATTCAACCCATGTACATGATCTATCTATAGCCCAAGCCAGAGATGCAATATTATAACCTCTAACTACTGTCTGTCCTCTTCATGCCAGATTTACATCTCCTTGTTGTACTACATCTGGAGTTGTACTGTCTCATTTCAGGGGCCACAGGTCCTAGCCCAAAATGTTTACTTTTTGTAAGATGCTGAAGTGTGGACTCCTTGGGAACATATTGATTGAAGCCTGCAGCATGGCAAAGATTGTGTAAAACTCTTTCCACCCTGCCTCTTAGGAACTGGGGAGCAGCTGTCTTCCCACTAGAGAGAGCATGGCTCCTGGCTCTTTACCAAATCTCTCATTTTTTAGTTCTAAGATGTGATTTTTCTCTCTGACACTCCTGAATCCAACATCTTTTATCCTTACAGGTAGGCCCTATGGGACTTATGCCCTAAAAACTGTAAGGGCTAAGCAGCCCATATGTTTGTATGTTTTCTGTTGGTATAACTGAATGCCACAGACTGTGTAATTTATAAAGAATGGAGGTTTATTTAGCTCACGGTTCTGGGGGCTGTGAAGTCCAAGTTTTATAGGAGGTATCTGGTGAGGGTCTTCTTGCTGCATCATCGTATGATGGAAAGGCAGAAGGGCAAGCAAGCACATGCAAAAGAGGGAGGCACCAGAGGCCAGCCCCACTTTACAACAGCCTATCTTGGGATAACTAACCCACTGAGATAATGGCATTAATCTGTTCATGAGGGCTCTGCTCTCATGTCCTAATCACTTCATGAAGGCCCCACCTCTTAATACTGTTGCAATGGCAGTTAAGTTTCAACATGAGTATAGGAGGAGACAAATATTCAAACCGTAGCACCATGTTTCTACATGTTTTCCCATTTATACTTACAGTCTGTGTCCTTTAACCTCAGTTTCTGTGGCATTTGTTCTTTTACAAGTCTGTGCTCCTATGATTATTAGAAAAGCCCAAAATATTCCAGTATTTGTTCTGTCAGATCAAAATTGTATCACATCTCTGGGTTTCTGGGGGTAAAGCAGAAGACACATTCATTTACAGCCTGTTAAGTCCTTTTATATAATATTCCATAACTGCAGGATATTGGCTTAAAATTTGAAAACTCTGCAGTTTCTGAAACTTTCTGAAACTTTACATTAATGCTTAAGTAAGAACAGAAATATGGGGAAAGTTTTTGATATTATCTAATAAAACTTTTCAGAACGCTTTTACTTGTGAGGGATGTAGATCTGTACACATATTTGAATAATGAAACATCCTAGAATGTCAGTCTTGTGCCATGTTTTGTCTGATATTAAGCACAGTGTTCATCTCAAGGACACAAAGAGTAAGGAAAGGATCTAGGAATCAGAAGTGAGGTGTCCTGATTTCTGTCCTTATGACTTCGGTCCTCTCTTCCCCCACAACACACACTTATTTTGACTCTGAAGGCTTTTGAGGAGAAATGTCACGATTTGCTGTGCTTTAGAAAAATAACTCTTATAGTAATACATAGAGTGACTACATGCTAGAAGGTTATTGAAAAGGTTTCAACAAATGGTAAGAAATAGGCCAGTGAGAGTGGAAAAGTGGGGATAAATTAGGGGGACCTAATGGAAGAAAAAAAAATCACAGGCTGTATTCCTTCCTGGAATAGCATACCCAGTTGTAACAATTTACCTGCTAGAAGCATGGTATGGTCAAGCAGACCATGAAAAAAGCAGGGACGGTGCACCCTCTGGCAGCAAAGTGCCCTGGTGGGCATGTTGAGTACGTGCGTGGGGCTACAGATTTTTGCCATGAATTCCTGGAATGTAAACTCTTTGAGGCTAGACTTAGCCTATTTTTTTCAGTGTGTTTGTCTAGTAGGTACTAAGTAAATACTTAGTGAATTAGAATAACTATTCTTTTTTTTTTAAATTTTTTTTTATTTTTATTTTTTTTGAGACAGAGTCTCTCTTTGTCACCCAGGCTGCAGTGCTGTGGTGCGATCTCAGGTCACTGCAACCTCCATCTCCCAGGTTCAAGTGATTCTCCTGCTTCAGCCTCCGAAGTAGCTGGGACTACAGGCACATACCACCACACCTGGCTAATTTTTGTATTTTTAGTAGAGGCAAGGTTGTTCACCATTTTGGCCAGGCTCAACTCGAATTCCTGATCTCAGGTGATCTGCCCACCTTGGCCTCCCAAAATGCTGGGATTACAGTTGTGAGCCACCGTTCCTGGCCCCTATTCACTTTTGATAAAAGCATTTGTACGCTTTTGTGGTAGAAGAGGAAATCATGACCATTCTCTGTTGAGGTCCTTTACTTCAGTTCCTGACCTCTATATACAGAGCCCACTGGACATATCTCATAGATACCTACCTTTATCCTCCTCATATGATAAATAATCTATTGAATGAATGAATGTCCAAGATGGAATTCATCATCTATCCCCCAAGTGAACCTACTCTACCTTTAATTTCCATCTCAGCAAATGGCTTTACCATCCACTTGGTTGCCCAAAGCAGAAATTAGATGTTATCCTTGATTCACCTTTTATTTTACTTCCCATATCTCATTAATCACCATGTCTTGTCATTTCTATTTAATTAATAAGCCTGTCTCCCTGCAAAAGACTGTAGGCTCTGTGAGGTCAGGGATTGTCCTTCTTAGCTATAGAGCTTAGCACAGGCACATAAAAGGCTCCAAAAAATATTAGATGAAGTAGAAGAAAGAATGAGTGAGTGAGTGCATGAGTGAGTGAATGAATACCTGTTTTTGACATAGGTCATAACTATCTCATGTGGTTTCTCTAATTTTGCCACCTTTCAGTTTTCTTTCTGTTTTCCAAACAGATGGATTATCTCTTGTTTTAATCCTTCAGCAGGTCCCTGTTGATTTTGAAAAAGCATAGAATCTTTAACATAGCTTACATGGTTCTGAGTGACCTGGCCTTTTGTACCTCTCTTGCTTTATCTTTCTTCGTCACTCTCTGTGTGGTCCAGCCACACCGACCACTTGCTGTTCCTCTAAAATACCCGTATGTTTTTGCCTCTGGACTTGGCATATACTTTTTCGTATGCCTACCTCGTCTCTCCCCCGACAACACATGCTTCTTTTGACTCTGAAGGCTTTTGAGGAGAAATATCACGATTTGCTATGCTTTAGAAAAATAACTCTTACAGTAATATATAGAGTGACTGTATGCTGGAACATTATTGAAAAGGTTTCAGCAAATGGTAATAAATAGACCAGTGAGAGTGGAAAAGTGGGGCCAAGTTAAGGGCACCTAATGGAAGAAAAAAAATCACAGGCTGTATCAGGTTTCTTGGTTGCAAGCAGCCAACTCTGGCTAGCAAAAAGTTTGAAGTACGAGGAGGCAGAATTTATTGGAAGAATGTGGGGTAGCTCATAATGTCAAAGGAACAACTGAACATCCAGGTTTCAGGAAGGGTGGTAACCAGAGCAGCTTTGGGCGTTTAGGGAGTAGGAACAAAGGGACAGTCTCCTCGTGGACTGTTGCCAGGATGAATTTAATGTCAAAGTATTCAGTTCAGGCTTCACTGTGTTCAAGGTCCAAAAGTAAAGTTAGCTCAACTTGGGTCCTATATCTATCCCTGAATCAATCCCTGCAGCCAAGGGGATGGAATGTGATGATTAGCTGTGGGTCACATGGCCACCCTTGAAAGAGAGGTGGGGGATGGATGGCTCACGCTAACCTTTGCACTGTGAATGCAAGATGAGTTTGTTCCCCAAAAGAAAACTACTAACCAGATAAGAGCAATGAAGAAGAATAAATAAATAGAGATGCATTGGAGATTTACAGCCAAACTGGAAGGAAGATTATGGCATTAACCAAGATAATATACAAAAGAAGGGAAAGTACATAAGGCTTTGGAGTTGAGATCGTAAGTTCAGCACTGAGTATGTCTGAGATGCCATCAGAACATCCATGTGTAATATGAAACAGCAATAGGAAATTTGGTTCTTGAGGTCAGAGCAAAGGGCTCAGGTTTGGAAGTCATTGGCTGGGAGTGAGAGATGGAGAAAATCTCCATGGAGAAAGGTAAGATCACCAAATATTTGAGGCATATCAGACTCTGCTGCAGTATCCTGAAATCTTTTACTGATCTGAGTTCTGTTCTAACCATGAATGGTGTTATTAACATCTGTTTAATTCTCTGTGCTTAATTCTTGCATTTGGAACTTGATGATTCTGCTGGGCTTACAGAATTCAAAATTCTAGTGAGGCTATTTCCCAACTGTGCCCTTTTATTTTTCTATCATCTTAGAATCTTCCATACTCAGCCTCTTCTGGTCTTCCTGTTCATGGAGTTGCTCACGATTCTGAGCCAACTGGGACCTGGTTTCAGGAGGTGAATTTAAGATTAACTTTAACATAGTCGCAAGGCCTCCAAGTGGAAATGCCCAGGAAATTACTGGAGTTGTGAGATGGGAATTTGTGTGAAAAGTCAAGATTAATAGTAGCATTAGGACATCTTTTCTGTAGAGGTGATGGTCTAATCTGTAATACTGGATCAACTTCCTGAGGGCATGATTATAAGAATGGAGAAATGAGAGTCCTAGGATTGAGTCTTGGGAAAATTGTTTTGGGAGGTGGGTAGAAGAAAGTGAGCCAGGGTCATAGATAAAAGGAATGGTTAAAGAAGTGGGAGGAATACAAATGTCTCAATAGCTAAGGGAGGAGGAGGTTTTAAGCAGAGGATGGTCTATAGTACAGAGAAGTCAAGAAGAATGAAATGTGAGAAAAAGACCCTTGGACTTAGTAAAGTGAAAATCACTTAGGAGTAAAAGTTTTTGCAACTTTTGGTAAAATGATAGAATGGAATCCAGAATTCAGGGAGGTGGAAGAAAATAATGGATGGTGAGGAAATGGGGATCAATCAAACTAACACATAATTATTGAGCTCTTAATAGTGATCATGGCATTGTGCCTATACTGTTGTCAACTTAATTATTACTGCCCTCTGGGAGTATCAAACTGAGTTGAGATGATAAGGAATCCATGAAAATATTCATTGCAATAAATTCAGAAGATATCATAAAGTAGACCATGATTAATGCATAATGCCAGATATGGACAATAAAGGTATACTTGTTTAGAGTGAAATGAGGATGCTTTGGTTTGGAGTTCTCTGGGAAAGCTCTTGTCTGTTCTGCTTCCTCTAGTCTACCCATCCTCTTTTAGGATAAGGGCTTCTGATTTCCCATGACTTAGGAAATAGAATTAAGACTGTTTCGTTCATTGAAGATCAGAATGCCCTGTGTACAGTCTGGAAAAGTAACATGTGCCACCTGAAGAGAAAAGAGTTTGTGATAGGCAGGTTAGCTCTTCTAGTCAGCCCCAGAAGCCTCACAGAAAGTGGGTTGTTTTAACAGTAAGAAATAGGGGTTATGTGGGACAGATGAGCAGTTTTGGAGAGTCAGGACTCCTGTACTGATGGGAAGAATAGAGCTGTCAGAGGCCCTGTAAGTATAGGATTTTAGCTGAATGTGGAACAGACAGGCATCTTTAGTAGTTCATGGCTTTGAAGCTACTTGGTGTGGAAGAAGTGGAACTCATGGTGTTTTCATTTTTCCTTTTACTGAGGTCTCTGGTAATGTTGGCTCTTCATTTTCCTCAGTTACTATCTTCATGTTGAAAGGAGAAATACTCTTTTCATTTTCCTTATTAGTCATTAAGGCTAAAGTTAGACTGAGCATAGAAATGAGTGCAGGCTCAGAACTGGCTGTTAGAAAAATAGATGACTGTCTCCATAGGCTAGTACAGAGTACATCATTTTCCTTTGTAAGTGTTGTATTAACTTGTGTTTGGGTTTTAAGAGGAGAATAAGTAGCCTCCATTAAATCCTGCTGCTAGATAAAACTGGTCTCAAAGCAGATAGTTATCAGTCTTCTAAGTAGGACCTTGTTTGCCTAACAGTGTGATGCAGTGCTTTCCTCTAAAAGAAAATAATCATACTGTTATCCTTGAGTCTCATGTTATTTTTGCAGATATTTGCCAGAGCCACACAACTAAGTTGGGATTCAAACCAGGTTTTCCAAAATGTAGAACTTGAGCACTGTGCTTCAAGAATTGCACAGAATGTGATCAGAAGCCTGGATGGTTTTAGTTATAGTGCTTCCATTAAGTGGCAGTATGAATATATAAACAATATTTCTCCTCTGTGGACCCCAGTTTCCCCAATTTCTCTAGTCTAGATGATTGACTTTTCAAAATTACCCACCTCTGAAATTTTAGAATCTATCCTTACACCTGCACAAGTAAATTAAGCCTGGTGATTTCTAGTAGCATAAATTTTCCTGGTTGACGCTAATGGCCTAGAACATTTTCTTTTGATGACCTTGCTTCAGAGAAAAGTGGCTTGTAGTAAATGGAGTAATGTGAGTAACAGTGAAATTGTTAGGCGATTGAGAATCAGGGCATTGAGATACACTGAAAAAACACTGAACTGAAAGCTGAGACATCTGGGGTCTGGTCCTAGTATTGACATTAACTAATTTTGGGACCTTGGGCAATCACTTGATCTATTCTGGGCTTTAGTTTTCCCATTTATAAAATCAAAACATTGGACTAACATCTCTAGTTCCCAGCTATGCAGTTGGAGGATCAATTCCCAGAATAATAATCTGCTGCAATTGCACTTTCTATTCCAGTATCCAGACAGACCATAGTGATGTTTATGTCTATTGCCTAGGAGTATTTACCACTAAATGGTTGGATTGTCTGATATTTCTAAGCAGAGCACAGACTGTGACTTCTGACCAAGAGAAACGGTTGCTACATCAGCTCCGAGAAATCACCAGGGTCATGAAAGAAGGAAAATTCATTGACAGATTTTCTCCAGAGAAAGAAGCTGAGGAGGCTCCTTACATGGAGGACTGGGAAGGTAAACAGCATCTTCTAATTTTTTTATTAGCTGTCAGCCCAGAAAAGAGATCGTACAGATTTTCTAAAAATCAGCTTCATTATTGAGGTATAATATATAAACAGGAATATTAACCAGTTTTAAATGTACAGTTGGATGAGTTTTGACAAATGTATAGAGTTTGTATAATCACACCATAATTTTGATAAAGAACATTTCCATCACCCCAGAAAGCTCCCCCTTCTTTGTAGGTAATGCCCTTCTCCTGCCCCTGGCAACAACTGAAGTGCTTTCTGTACGTTTAATTTTGCCTTTTCTGTGTAAGTGGATTATACTGCATATGCTCATTGGCTTCTTTGATTTAGCATAATACTTTTGACATTCATGTTTGTTATTGAGTATATCCATACTTTTTCTCTTGCTGAGTAGTAGTCAGTTATATGCTTATACCATAATTTGTCCATTCACCAGTTGAGGAACGTTTGGGTTATTCCTACCTTTGCACTCTTATGACTCAAGCAGCTATAAACTTCTGCATGAGTCTTTGTTTGAACATATATTTGTGTTTTTTTTGGGTCTATACCTAGGAGTGAGATTTCTGGGTTTAAGGTAATTGTATATTTAACTTTTTTTGTTGTTGTTTTTTAAGACAGTCTCACTTTGTCGCCCAGGCTGGAGTGCAGCAGAGCAATCTCAGCTTGCTGCAACCTCTGCCTCCTGGGTTCAAGTGATTCTCCTGCCTCAGCCTCCCAAGTAGCTGTGATTACAGGTGCCTGGCACCACGCCTGGCTAATTTTTGTATTTTTAGTAGAGACAGGGTTTCATCATGTTGGCCAGGCTGGTCTCGAACTCCTGACCTCAAGTGACCCACCTGCCTCAGCCCCTCAAAGTGCTGAGATTACAGGCATGGGCCACCATGCCTGACCACATGTTTAACTTTATTAGAAACTGTCAACCTGCTTTCCTAAGTAGCTCTTCTTTTTCCCTTCCCACCAGCAGTGTATGGCAATTGAAGTTACTCCACATCCTTGGTAACACTTGGTCTTGTCAGTCTTTTTAATTTTATCTATTCTAGTGAGTGTAAAGTGATATCTTAATTGTGACTTTAATTTACCTTTCTCCAGTGACTAATGATGATGAACATTTTTTCATGTGCTTATTTGCCATCTGCATATCTTTGAAGTGTCTGTTCAAATCGTTTGCCAATTTTTAAATTGGGTTGATTAGGTTCTTGTTGGGTTGCAAGAGTTCTTTATATATTCTGAGTACAAGTTATTTGTCATTTCTGTATTTTGCAAATATTTTATGTAGCTTGCCTTTATATTTTCTTAACAGCATCTTTCAAAGAGTAGAAGTTTTAAATTTTGATGAAGTCCAGCTTACCATTTTTTTCTTTATGAATTGCTCTTTTTTTTTTTTTTTGAGACAGAGTCTTGCTCTAGCCCCCCAGGCCTGAGTGCAGTGGCGCCATCTCGGCTCACTGTAAGCTCCACCTCCCAGGTTCACACCATCCTCCTGCCTCAGCCTCCCTAGTAGCTGGGACTACAGGCGCCTGCCACCATGCCTGGCTAATTTTTTTGTATTTTTAGTAGAGATGGGGTTTCACCGTGTTAGCCAGGATGGTCTCAATCTCCCGACCTTGTGATCCGCCTGCTTCGGCCTCCCAAAGTGCTGGGATTACACGCATAAGCCACTGTGCCAGGCCCATTTTTTATGTTCTGTTTAAGAAATATTTGCCTAACCCAAGGTTTGCCTAACTCCCATGTTTTCTAGAAATTTTACGGTTTTAGCTTTTACATTTAGGCCTGTGATCTATTTTGAGTTAACCTTTATAGATGGTCTGAGGTATCAGGACTGAGGTTTATTTTTTTCCATATCAAATACCCAATTGTTCAGCTTCTTTTGTTACATTTAATTAGCTTGACATTTGCTTGAAAAACCAGTTGACCATGCATGTGCTTATCTGTTCTGGGCTCTATTCTGTTCCATTGATCTGTATGTCTCTACTTGTACCAATAGCACATGGTCCTTATTACTGTGTCTTTATAGTAAGTCTTGGTTTTGGGTAGTTCAAGTTGTTCAGATTTTTTTTTCCAAAATTATTTTGGCTATTTCCTTCACTATTTCAGATAAATTTACAATTAGTTTGTCAGTTTTTATGAAAAAGCCTGATGGGATTTTGATTGGTACTGCTTTGAATCATTAAATCAATTTGGAAGAATCAATACAGTAACTATATTGAATCTTCTAGTTCATGAACATGTTATATCTCACCATTTTAGATCTTTTAAAAGTTCTCTCAGCAATGTGTGGTAGTTTCCAAGGTATAGGTCTTGCATATGTGAGGGATACTGGTCTGTGATTTTCTTTTCCTGTAATGTCTTTGGTTTTGATTTCAGGGTAATCCTGGCCTCATAAAATGCATTGGGATGTGTTCCTTTTTCTGTTTTCTGGAAAAGTTTCTGTAGAGTTACTGTTATTTATGCCATACAAGTTATGTGGAATTCTCCAATGATATTATCTTGGTCTGGAGTTTTGTTTTCTTTTTTCTTTTCTATTCTTTTCTTTTCTTTCCTTCCTTTCTTTCTTTTTCCTTTTTCCTTTTTTTCTCTTCCTTTTTCTTTCTTTTCTTTCTTTTGTTTTTCTCTCTCTTTTTTTTTTCAGGGTCTTGCCCTGTTGCCCATGAACAGTGGCACATGATCATGGCTCACTGTTTGATCTCCTGGGCTCAAGCAACCCCCCAACCTCAGCCTCCTCGGTAGCTGGGCCTACAGGCATGCACCACCATGCCTGGCTAATTTTTCAATTTTTCAATTTTTTAAATTTAAAAAATTAGCCAGGCATGGTGGTGCATGCCTGTAGGCCCAGTTACTCATGCCTGGTCTTGTACTCCTGGTCTTAAGCAATCTTCTCGTCTTGGCCTCCCAAATGCTGGGATTATAGGTATGAGCCACTGTGCCCAGTTGACCTGGAGTTTTCTTTGTGGGAAGATGTCTATGAATTTAATGCATTTTATGGATATAGTGCTATTCAGGTCATTCACTTCTTGAGTGAACTTTGATACTTTGTATCTTTCAAGGAATTTACATAGTTCATCCATGTTGTCAACTTTGTTATTAGTATAAAGTTGTTCATAATATAGTCTAATTATCCATTTAATGTATGTAAGATCTGTAGAGATGCACTCTCTTCTATTCTTGATCCTGGTAATTTGTTTCTTTTCCTGATCAAGCTGCCCAGAGGTTTATCAACCTTGTTATCTTTTCAAAGAACTATGTTTTGGTTTCTTTTTTTTTTTTTTTTTTTTTTTTTTTTTGGTTTGTTTCTTATTTCATTGACTTGTGTTTCTTTCTTTCTGGTACTTTTGGTTTAATTTGCCTTTTTCTAGTTTCTCAAGGTGGAAGCTTAGACCCATGACCTATATTTTTGGCCATTATTTTATTAATGATCTGTGTCTTTGTATCTCTCTTATTTCTTTCTGGCTCTCCAGTTGCATATATGTTTGATAGTGCCCCACAGGTCATGTAAGTTCTGTTCACTGTTTTTCAGGTTTTTTTTTTCCTTACCATGCTTAGTTTTGAATAGTTTTTCCAGCTATGTCTTCAGGTTTATTTGTGTCTTCTTCTACTGTATCTAACCCACTGTTAATCTTATTCAGTGTTTTTTAATTTCAGATATTATCATTTCTAGAAGTTTCATTTGGGTCTTTTTTATATCTCATTTATTCATATTTTACTCTACTTTCTTAAGCATATGAGGCATATCTGTAATAGCTTTCTTGACTTTTAATTGCTAATTTCATCATCCATGCCATTTCTGGGAATGTTTCTGTTGACTAATTATTCTCCTGGTAATGGGTCCTAATTTCTTTTTTTTTTTTTTTTCATACCTGGTAGGTTTTGATTTGATGATGGATATTACAAACTTTACATTGTTAGGTGCTGGATTTTGTTTTAGTGCTTTAAATAGTGTTGGATTTCATTAGGTTAGCAGTTAGGTTAGTAGAAAACAGTTGAATCCTTTAAGGCTTTAGCATTTTTTAGGTTGGGTCCAGAACAGCCTTTATTCTAGGGCTAATTTTTTAGTTATATGCTTATACCATAATTTGTCCATTCACCAGTTGAGGAACGTTTGGGTTGTTCCTGGCTTTGCACTCTTATGACTCAAGCCGCTATGAACTTTTGCATATGAGTCTTTGTGAATATTTATAGCAGGTTACTTTTAATAGCCAAGAACTGGAAGCAACCTGAATGTCTTTTAGGAGGTGAATAAACTGTGGTATATAAATACTGTGGTATACACTCAGCAATAAAAAGGAATGAACTATATGTACAACAACCTAGATGAATTTCCGGAGCATTATGCTGAGTGTAGGGGGAAAAACTAATTCCCAAAGGTTACATACTATATGATTCCATTTATAATTGACATGGCAATATTATAGAAATAGAGAACTGATCAGTTGTTGCTAGGAGTTAAGACAGGAATAGGAGTAGGAAAGAGTGAGTGTGCCATGAAAGGGCAACATAAGGGATCCTTGTGGTGATGGAAAATGTTCTGTATACTGACTGTATCAATATTAATATCCTGGTGGTTATATTGTAGTATAGTTTTGCTAGATGTTGCCTTTGGGAGAAACTGGATAAAGGGTACATGAGATTTCTGTATTACTATTAGTATTATTTTTTAAAGGGATAGGGTCTTAACCATGTTGCCCATGCTGGGGCTCAGGCGATCCTCCCACCTCAGCCTCCTGAGTAGCTGGGACTCCAGGTGCATGCCACTGTGCCTGGCTTGTATTATTTCTTATATACTGCCGGTGAATCTGTAATTATCTAAAAATAAAAAAGGTTAATTTTTTTAAAAAGCAACACAAATTCTAAGGGAAAAGATTGTGTAACTTAAATACATAAAACTTTTACCTTCTGCAGATCAGAGAATATTACACAGTTTAAAGGACAAGAATAAACTGGAAAAATATTTATAACAAATATAATTGAAAAAAGTTATCTTTTTTTTTT